ATATATATATATATATACACACACACACACACACACAATATTTTTATAGTAATATACTATTAATGTTTATTATAAAATTTCATTATGAGAGAGAGAGAGAGAGAGAGAGAGAGAGAGAGAGAGAGAGAACGAAACAAAGGTTGCTGTCATCTTTATCCTCTAGAAATCTACCAAAAAATTCCTTTGCTAAATTATGAGTTTCCATTTAATACTTCCATTTAATAACATCATTTTATCTTTCTTGATTTCAATGAATAACAAAGATAGAACAACATTGTATCGATTTGTGCATGAAAAGTACTCTTTGATTTTTTTTTTTTTAATAAAAATATAATTTTTCTGCACTTAGATACATATTGACATGTCTTTGTGAGAAATACGATACAATATTACACTGCATTTATAACACTGCATTTATGACTTATTTAATACTATTCAAAAAAATAATCCAAAATATAATGACTTAGATTGAATGGCTATTGAAAAAGCATTTTAAAAACCTCGTAAAAATATATTTTCTAGAGTCTCCAAAAGGTAAACTTTTCTGGTTAGCGCGACGATTTTTCTTGGCGCTCAAATAATGGATCCAGTATTTTTTCATCTTGCGAAAGTTTGCAATAACAGTCCATGCCGGCAGGTAAAATCGGCGCTTAATTAAGGCCGAATTGATCAATTTGCCATTATGTACAAGAATTTTGTATTATGACAGGCCTGGAAGATTTATGTGATTTAGCATGAAGAAATCACTGGTGACAGACGCGGCAGCTTTTGTTTCGTTTTTGCAAAACGCATCTCTTAAATCGAAATGACCATCTCTGAAGTTGGCATAAATGAAAGGATGTTCTTGCTTTATGGGATTTTTATACCGAAAATAAAATTAATTTATACAGTAATATAATATTGAAGAATAAAAATAATAAGTATTCTTGACAATTCAAGATATTTTTCAAAAATATGGTTTGAGGTTCAACCAATCATTACCCGACTCTCATCGTATAAAATGTGGAAGTGGAAACGACATATGAATTTGGAAGATCTATAGAGTCTCGTTTTTTGAAGGTTTTTTTCATTAAATTCATTAAAAAATTTTGGTAAATGTTTAATTTTTTTACAGTCACATAAGAGACTCTCAATTCTGATGAATTCTTGATATTGTAAGTCATGATCTTGAGTAATTTTAAGGCACGTCTAACAGGTTTTAATTGGTATTCGTTAACTTGCTAAAAACTTATTAATAAAAAAAGTTCACTGCTTTTTACGGGGCGAAATGAGATTTATAATTGTATTGTTTCAAATAGATTTTGAATTCCATGCAAAACGAGATCCACCCCACTTCCCCTTCTACCTCGAGACGTACAATCTTCCACATCAAACGAAGTTTATTTTTATTTCTAAACACGTGTATATATATATATATATATA